AGAGGAAATGCAAAACCACGAGCTAATGAATGGGCCACCTGGCGCCACTTCACTAATCTGGAGCGGATGCGTTGTGTTAATGCCAGAGGGCCGCGGGCGTTTCTCTGTCGAACGGGGCAAACCTTACATTCCCAAGGAAACAAAGTATGGGCTTGGCTATGGGGTCTCCAATTAGGACCAACTCTTTCTGGGTATCTGGAGGAAAAAATTGCTCGGATCCATTCCCAGTTGGATACCAAGTGTGGGGGATGGCCTGTGGAGATGCCTGGGGACCGTGCTTACCCTGTTATCCTGTTGGGCCCAAGGATGTGGACAAGGTCCTCCAGTCTGTAAATGCCACCACTCATCAGTTAGATCCATGCCCCTCCTAGCTGGTTAAGGCAGCTCAGGAGGTAACATGTGGGTGGGTCCAGGCGAGGGTGAGTTCATCTTTGAGAGAGGGAGTGTTTCTGGCTACCTTTAAAACAGTGCTGGTGCACCCCCTCCTCAAGAAACCATTGCTGGATCTCACCATACTGGACAATTTTCATCCAGTCTCCCACCTTCTCATTTTGGGGAAGGTAGTTGAAAAAGTGGTGGCACTGCAGCTCCAGAGGATCCTGGATTAAATGGATTATCTGGATCCTTTTCAGTCGGGTTTCAGGCCCAGATATGGATGGAAACAGCATTGGTCGCACTCTTGGATGATCTCTCGTGGGAGCGGGATGGGGATAGTGCATCCATCCTTGTTCTTCTTGACCACTCAGTGGCTTTCAGTACCATTGATCATGGTATCCTTTTGGGTCGGCTTGGGGAGTTGGGGGTGAGTGGTGCAGTTTTGCACTGATTCACCTCCTTCCTTCAAGGCTGGTCCCAACTGGTGTTGATAAGGAGCGAGAGGTCCAGCCCACAGCTCCTCCTTTGTAGGGTGCCACAGGGTTCAGTGCTCTCTCCACTCCTTTTTTAACTTCTACATGAAACCACTGGGTAAGATCATCCACCACCATGGGATGAGGTATCATCAATATGCAGATGATACCCAATTATACATCTCCATCCTGGGTGATTTGAGTGATGCTGTAACTACCCTTTTGAAGTGCCTGGAGGCTGTGGGGGTCTGGATGGGGAACAACAGGCTTCAGCTGAACCCTGGTAAGACGGAGTTGCTCTGGATTGGCGGTCCCTCTATATCTGGGAGTTTACCATCGTTGGTTCTGGATG